GCTTAGCGACGACACGCGAGGAAGAAGCACGTAGGAACAAGTGCATCTTGTCGGACGGTGGAACCGACACTAACGAGATGAGTCCCTCCGCCTCTCGATACCTCGAATCATTGCTGAAGGACGTTCTCGTTTTTACGAAAGAATGCCTAGTGACATATGGACGGAACCAATTTACGAAATTCTAGCCACGGACCCTCGACCAGTCGTTCCTCGAGCTCCCTCGGATGCTTGCGAAGGAAAATTTCCCAAGATGACGCAGCTTCTACACTTGTCCTTCTTCAGCGGAAAATTAGGCAACGATGCTTACGTAAATGAATTCGTACATCATTCTGATTCATTCTTGGACGTCTCCGAATCTGAAAAATATTTATTTATTTATTTATTTATTTATTTGGTGAATGGGGAGAGGACCTTTACTCTACAGGTAGAATTTTTAGTTATTGATAGACAAAATACATATGAATTATAAAAATATGAAAGAAATAGAAATTACCAATCTTGTTTCATTTTTCATTTTGTTATTATGCTTAAATTGCTTAAATAAATGTGTTATTCATTTTGTTCTTTCGGGAATAGAAGATTGAGCATGCAAGTAGTATTTTTAATCATTGGTAGATGAAATATATGAATTATAAAAATATGAGAGGAATAAAATTGATCAATCTTGTGTCATTTATCATTTTGTTATTGCTGTTATTTATTTTCTTCATTCGGGAATGGAAGCTTTAGTATATAAGTAGTATTTTTAGTCACTCATAGACAAAATATATATGAATTGTAAAAGTATGAGAGGAATAGAAATTACCAATCTTGTTTCATTTTTCATTTTGTTATTATGCTTAAATTGTTTAAATAAATGTGTTATTCATTTTGTTCTTTCGGGAATAGAAGATTGAGCATGCAAGTCATATTTTTAATCATTGGTAGACGAAATATATGAATTATAAAAATATGAGAGGAATAAAATTGACCAATCTTGTGTCATTTATCATTTTGTTATTGCTGTTATTTATTTTCTTCATTCGGGAATGGAAGCTTTAGCATATAAGTAGTATTTTTAGTCACTCATAGACAAAATACATATGAATTGTAAAAGTATGAGAGGAATAGAAATTATCAATCTTGTGTCATTTATCATTTTGTTATTATGCTTACATCGTTTTAATAAATGTGTTATTCATTTTCTTCATTCGGGAATAGAAGATTGAGCATGCAAATAGTATTTTTAATCATTGGTAGACGAAATATATGAATTATAAAAATATGAAAGAAATAGAAATTACCAATCTTGTGTCATTTTTCATTTTGTTATTTCTGTGTCCTGTCAGGCATATTTTGATACGTGACTGAAATAAATGAATGTAACAATGTAAAAGGTTTCATTTTTCTTTGAAAAATCATTTATGACAGCATACAGTGAATCTATACTATGTTCATATTTCAATAGTAATAATTTTGTGAGAAGAAATTGTACAATAACATTTGTGATGTCAATAAGGAGGATAAAGCTTGTATTTTCTAATCCATAAATTTAATTCCTACTTAGATGATTTTATAGTAGAAAACAAAGACAGTATTTCTCTTGGAAAAATTGTAGAAATTCAAATGCTGGTAGATCCACGAAAAAATTTATTTCGAAATTTTAGTAATTCTAAACAAAATTCTAATAGAAAAATTAGCGTAAATTGTAGTTAAAAAATTTCCAAGTAGAAATTAAATTAGGGTGTGTGAAAGTGCAGGATTTGTTGCACAAATGTTATTGTATAATTCCTGTTCACAAAGTTATTACTGTTCAAATATTAACACAGTATAGCTTCAATTTTGCTCCCCACTATAATTGTGACCCTACTTTTTCCTCGTACGCAATTCGGACTTGATATTACGCGATATTTTTAACTGGAATTTGGTATCCAGTATATATAAGACTTACCTGTACACAGACTGTCAACATTTAAATTCTCAAAATGGAAATTTCAACGGTAAATATATTTATTCGATACTTTTAATTGAGAAATATAAAAATACTTAATAAAAATTACCAAAAAATGAACATACTAAGAAAGTACACGTCACTATATCCTTTTTAAATCGCTTGTTTTCGGAAGTTTTCGCTGTTTCCACCTAAATTTGAGCACCCTGTACGTATCTATCGACACAGTATTACAACCTAGTAATTGTACTATCAATTATTTTCTGCAATAAAATTAACCCTTTGCCCTCGACGATTTTTTGGCTAGAGAAGAATAGAAAATCAAAGATTCTCTAGTAAAAAAACTGACGATACTTTTTTGAGCAGTAAATAAAGAATTGTAGAATTATTTGATTTCGATACCTCGTACACTGTTACATTACATTAAATTTGATATATTAATTAATATCGGTGTTCCAAATTTTATGAAATGGTGACTGAAGGTCACCTCTCGAGTGCAAAGGGTTAAAAATGGCGCCCAAGTGAAGTAAACTTACGCCTAGCAGACAGCAAACTGCTAAATTCCTCGTTCGACTGGTCACAGTCGCACAGGCGAATTTATAAACGATCCCACCACGAAATTATCGCTCGATCTCATAAATCTCATATAGAAACGATATATAAGCTATCACCGCAAATTGCAATCTTCCTTTTCTTTCTCGAATTTCTCCTTTTCCACGTGAGAATATAATGCAACCGTCAGAAATGCATAGACAACCGAGAAAGTGGAACGCAACTGGCGCCACGATTAAACGTCCATCGATGCAGTTAGAGGGACGGAACTAGGCCACGCAGCATCTCTTCTCATCCGAAATGACCTCCAGTTGCATAATCTCTCGTGTTTCCACACGTCAGTCAGGTGAACGATGCAAAGTTCGTTTAATTTTTAAACCTACATCCAGTTCGAAGGACGCGCATCGACTCGCGCATAAAATACATACGACCATTCTTACGTTGCTCGCTTTTTGCCATTGTCGCATACCCTTGAGAAATTCTACGGCTCTGGAACAGCTTCCAGGCCACCCTGATTACGTTGAAACATTCCACATGGCGAAATGAATTCTCGGACATAACGCTTACAGCGATCGTTTTGCATAGCAGCGAGCACAATTGCGTAACTATGACGGAACACCACGGAGACCATCGTGCGATGGCATTCCCCATTCCCGCCCCTTTTCCACGTCTGATCGAGTGTTCGAATATGGCTTTCACCGAACACGGAAGTTTGCACACGTGCGATTAATCCATATTTCCCCGTGTCTTCGTCATAGCGAGATAACGCTCGACAGAGCGCGCGAATTAATGACACAGTGACGAGAAATGTCCAATAAGGATTGGATTGGCCAGAATTGATGCAAAAATGGCGTAAGGATGCGACCGTTGTTTATTCGACATTCGATTTATTCCACATTCTACACGCTTTCCCCGCTCTTTCGTTACAATATCGCATAACGCGTTCTATAATGACGCCTGTCTTCACGCACTTTCGTTTCTCGAATTTCAAATTACGCGGGCGGAAGAGAGAAATTATAATTATAATAATATCGTGTGTTTTCCTTGATCAATGGAAAATTTTGAACGCGAACCTGAACGGATTTACATATTTTAATTTATGTATATTTTATACCTAATTTATATAATTTATATATAATAGGCCTGATTCGTTGTTACAGAGGAACGATTTCGAAATTGCGTAACTAGGCTTCTGTCAGCGAGACGTGTCACTGAGAACGATTATTAATGGACGACCAGTTTTCATGACAGTTGCACGTCGTTTTCGAGTACATTACAGGACGTGTATTGCAGTATCTAAGGTATTATAGTATATTATAGTGTATTATAGTATCTCGATCATCGAGAGACGTGGAAGAGAGGAACAACGTTTATTGGATCGATAGATCAGTCGATTGACGGCTGAAAAATAGCAGCAGGTGCAGCTGACACCTTTCGAGAAAAGTCGGTATCGTATTTGGTACAATTTGGTAATCGGGTACACAGCGATAACAAGGACGGTAGCTGAGATATTGCACGGTTGTACTTTCTCGACAGTGGCACGCGACCATTGAACTATCGTTCATTGCGTTGCTTTATGGCAGTGTGTTACATACTTGGGAAACGAAGCGACGGAAAAGGGGTAGTCCCGTTGGGACAAGATCGATGGTGATCGCGAGCAGCTCGATCGATGAGGGTACAGTGGTTACTAAAATGTATGTACAGCGATACAGGGTGGACCATGCAACGTGTAAGAGATTAACCGTTTGAGTGCCACGGGTCATTATTGTTTCCCAATCGATATTTGCCAAGCGGCGCGATAGCGCTTGTCATATTCCGTGTCCAAAAATGCCGAGCGGCGCGATAGCGCTTCTCATATTCCGCGTTCACCAACCGAGTGCGCTATGTGAACTTCGCAGCTCAGAGCGCTGGCACTTTTGGACACAAAATAGAAGAAGCGCGATCGCGCCGCTTGGCACTCAAACGGTTAAAGAAATAACAAGGAGGAGGTAATGACACTTGGTTCTTGTCAAGTTGACAGTGTTACCAAAGACAGGGAGAATGGACTTGCTATGAAGGGAAACGAAGTGGACCACCCTGTATAACAGATCTCCTGTAACATTGAAAATATTACGTTTACGTTGTTTTAAAAAATGTATTGTAGAATGTATATTAATTATTATATGTATTTAATGAAAATTATTTTTAAAATAATTTTTGCACCACTAATTTGCATAGTGCGAAATTTTTAGAACGCAGAATCTCAAGTGTTGTAGGAGATCGGTATTTCTTTCTTTTTGGTAAGGTATTGGTTTCTCACGGACGGAGTGTCTAGAGCTAGGTCTAAGCTATATATTCGAGATTGGACTAATTACGATTCGACGCTATGAACGACGGATATTCCTAAACCTTGGTTCTATCGAGATAATTCGCTTCTCGATTCGTTCTGGAGGAACGAGGACGCGCGTTAGCCAGGTTCCCATGAAAATCCCTGAAGTTTGTTGAGCTATCTGTGTGCTGGATCCTCGAGGAGGATCCTCTAGTGAGGATTGTCCGATGGTAGACCCTTGATGGCGAGCGCTCCGCGGAAGAATGGCTTGAAGATCTCTAGCAGAGTCTGTGTTCGACGGGCTGAGTTCTGAAAAGCGTAAACAGATCATTCTTCGTTATGGTGTTATTCGATGGGGAATATTCGTCGCATATTGAGGAATATTCGATAAAAATTGAGCGAAAATTTGGAGAACATTTGATGAATATTCCATATATACTTAGCAAAAGTTTGGCGAAAATTCGATAAATATTCGACCTATACCTAGCAAATATTTGGCGAAAATTTGATGAATATTCGACGTATACCTAGCAAACATTTGGCGAATATTTTATAAATATTTGACGAATATTCCACGAATATTCGACGTATATCTAGCAAGAGTTTGGCGAAAATTTGATGAATATTCGACGTATACCTAGCAAACATTTGGCGAATATTTTATAAATATTTGACGAATATTCCACGAATATTCGACGTATATCTAGCAAGAGTTTGGCGAAAATTTGATGAATATTCGACGTATACTTAGCAAATATTTGGCGAAAATCTTATAAATATTCGACGAATATTCGACGTATACCTAGCAAAAGTTTGGCGAAAATTTGACGAATATTTGATGAATGTTCGACGTACACTTAACAAAAATTGAGCGAAAATTTGATGAATATTGGACTAACATTGAATAAAAATTCGACAAACATTTTCCGAATACTTGAATCTCTGACTCACATTCGAAGAAATAAGCAAATGTTCAATGCAAAGCAAATTTAAAGCAAACTTGTCGAAAAATTGATGATATTTGACAAATATTCGAGTATTCAAAGCACACGAATCGAATATGACCATTCGAACATTCGACGAAGCTTCGTGAATTCATAGATGGATTGAACGCGACGAATTGAAGGAAAGTTGAAACCCGCGAATACTCGCGCGTATTCAAACGCATGCATCGAGATCGAGAACGGCTCGACTTCGATCTCACGATCGATACGCGTGGTCAGTCTCTGGGATTTTGCAAGAAAATCGAGTGAAGGGTGACACGTTTACGGTAATTAGTCGAGCCGGTGGAAAATCTGCGAAAGAAATCGCTGCATCGGATATAAGCTCGATTGCGAGATAATCCTGGCAACGCCCAATCCTTCGGCTCGATGAGAAAATATCGATATCCCGTCACTCTGACAGGTCAAAGTCTCCATTGGGCAAGCATCGGAGCCTCACCGGCGGCTTTAATCGAGTTAGGTTATAACAGGTTTAACTTTCCCACTTACGAGTATCACGCTACTGACGATCTTGCTGATGTTGGTTATCAGGGTGAAACCGGTACCGAATACGTTCGGCGGTATTTCCAAGGACACCTTCGTCCTATCGAATTCAGGGATGTCCTCCGTGGTCGTCGAGATCGGTCCCTGGACATAGATAAAAACAGCCAATGACGATCCGACTTGCAAAATGCGCGCACCATGACAGCAACGCTGTCATGGAAAGAAAAAGGAAAGGCAACGCTCGATCTCAATATTCTCTCTCTCTCATTCCCTCCGTTTCCCTCTCCGGTCGATCGAGGACTCGTTTACGCACCGATAATATATCTATAGTACCCCGCCTTGTCGCAATCGTATCGCCATACGCGTAAACCGATCCTGCGAATATGGCGGTGGAAAGATCGAGATAACCCGAGTCGCGATCCATCTCTTCTCTGCTATCTCGTCGAATGAGTTCGTTAAAACGTACGTTAAAAACTCGACTCGTCGAAGAGGCTGTTAAGACACGCTATCAGCTGTCATTAGATCACGACTCGATATCTACCACCGATCTTTCCACGGATGAAAATGCACGCTGCAATGTTGGAACATGGTCGGGAAAGGATGTGGGATTTCAATGTCGTTCGCAAGAGACCAAGGTACTCGACTGGTAGACAAAAAAACATGATCGTGATTTTATTTGACAACAGTATCAACATCCATTATTCGTAGGATCGCTTTAGCAAAGTGTATACTTAGAGCGATTAAAGGTAACTCTATTTACATAAATTCGCACAACAGGTATCCTAGGTATCCGAGACGCGTGGGTCCCGCGGGCAGCTACCCCTGAATAATTATTTACAGCTCGCATAACGGTGAATCGATCACTTAACGGCGGCTATGGGCCGGAAGTGGCGAGTGACAGAGGTTAGGGAGATCTCTTGCTCGTGTTTCTAAAGATTAGATAACTGTGTCACAGGGGTGGGCTTGTCACAGAAGGGGAAGCAGATCCTGGCGTTCTATCGGCCGAGCTAGAAAGAAAAATCCATTGTCGTACAGTTCTGTCGTTTCACAACCGTCCCCGGGGGTCTTTCTTTCTCATCTCTTTCCATATAGCTGTTTTTGCGTTTTAAGATGGATGCTTAGTTGCGTCTAGGATCCTCTGTCAAGCGTTGCTGCTCGATGGTCCCTTTGGACGTGTCCAAAAGCCCAGGGTCCAACGTCCTCGCTCGCACCGCGTCCGCATTTTAAGCCGTATAATACTCTCTCTGCGGTGGATCGTATTCGTACTGTTTGTGCACAACAGTCAATTTAATTGGCGAGTTGTAGCTTAGTCACGAGGAATAATAATAGCCCCGAAACGCGCTCGTCACCGGGTTAGTCCAGCGCAAGGATCGAAAGCGTGTTAGTCCTCCGTTATCCCGAGCAAGACTCTGTCACGGTTTAGCTTTGACGCTCGGTGGGTTACGTGCTCGCGTAACTTTAACACGGCGCGTGAAATGATCGTCAAAGGAACAATTTCAGTCGACGAAGCTATAAACAGGATCGTGCCATTAATCGTGAGCGTTTCCCGCGCAAATAAAACGCGATGCATCGTGCAGGTGAATGAAAGGAGAGAAAAGCGAAATGAGAGCCCCCTGTAGCCGCTGATCCCCTTGTTAATGCCTACTTTCATGCGGTGCGACTTTCGATGCCGAAGAGAAAACAAGCAAATTGGATAAAGAAACAAAGACTCGTTACTGGTTGCCATTAGCGAACGGCAGAGACAACGAGCATGCGTCTCTCCGCCACGGGCGACATTCGTCACGGGTGGCAGCCATGTCACACGTACCGGAGTGGAGAGAGAAAGAAGAAGAGAGAAGATTTTAAGAGAAGAATTTAAGGGAGATAGTATCGTGATCCTACCCCTGCGCCTAAGCTCGCATAGGCCCCGGGGTGACCCACAACGGGGGCATCGTGGCCGTGAGCACTGGGACCGGAAACAGCGCCGCCCTTGTGGCTCAGCTCTGTCAGGCTGTTCAGAAGGTTACTCAGGACGGTGCCGGTAACTCCGCTGTTGTCGTGGTGGCTGACACCTAAATCTAACGAACACGTTGACGGATTAATCGCGATCGAAGGATTTCGAAGAGAAATTCCTCCTCTCATCTCCCGTTCGTCTCACCTACGCCGTGACCACCGTGACCGCTGTGAGCGGCGTGAACGGCGTGAGCTCCGTGTTCCAATTTACCCGCCAGTCCAGCGGACACGCCAGTTGCGATGGAGCTGAGAGGTGCCAATTTCGACAGGGCTGCGTCTGCCAATCCGCTCTTCGTACCCGCGATCAAAGTTTGAGCGCTGTGTATCACAGGTCCGATGCTTCCGCTCGCGGCCTGGATCTTGGCAGCGACTAGGTCGCTGATGAACTTGCCCGTGGCCGAGTGCTTCGTGTCGATGCCGTACGCGGCGTTCTTCACCTTGTTCGCGTCTTCCAACGCGATGAGAGCCTTCGTCTTGGAGTCGATGAACGAGTCGAGCTTCTGCAAACAGAAACTCCGCGTGAATGAAATTCCTCGGCCAGTTAGCTGTCATGTCAGCCGGGGAAGAGCCTTACGCTGAAAACGAAGTTGATTATCCCATTAGACACGCCCAGCTTCAACACACCGATCTTCCTCTTGTCCCTGTCGCTCCTGTCCCCATCCGCAGCCTGATCATCCTCAGCCTCCACGATGTACACCTAAACGGAACGACTCTCGTTAGCCTGCATCTCGGTACAGGAAATTCGTGGTGGAATCGGTCTCATCGTGGAAACCACTTTCCCCCTGCGATCGCATTAAACGCGACGAGTGATGCGATGAAATTGAGCAACCGGGGAAAGGAGAGAAAGGATCAAACGTTTAGAGCTGCGTTTAAGTATATAATAAGCAGTCGGTGAAACTTCAAAGTGTTTCCAGACGATTGTCCAACGAGATTCCGTGGTGCAACGTGGATCGATTGTAAGGAGACAAACGCGGCCAGCTGTACGTGCAAGCTTTTTAATTACAGTCGGAGAAAGAGCGAAGCTATGGCGGCTGCGTTGCGCACGACCACGTGTGCGCGTCAGAATTTTAGTTACGCGCGCGTATCCGGCCTCGCGTGTCTGCGTGCGCCAAGTTAGTCAACCACTTTCACTCCTCGCTCGTTTCATCGCCGCGTCGTGCTTCTCTCTTTTCCCATTCGGTCCCTCGGACTCGTCTCTGCCATCCGTCTTTCTCCATTTCCAATTCCGCCGCCAATGAATCCCGCCAATTCTCCGGCTACTCGAATGGGCAATGACACCGGGAAATTTCGAATGTTCTCTATCGAGAAGAGGTTAAATTGAATTTTCTCAAGCTTCTGCTTCGACCAGTCGCGACAGACGGCGGGATAATAAAACTTCGAAATACACGCTTTCACTTTCGCGAGTCCCAACCGATCCCGACTCACGTTTTGGTTTCGTTCACGCGTCTAGTTTGCGAGATTTGCTGCGTAACGACCCGATCGTGTTCACCAGTATTGACCCGAATTTTACGTCGTTAGTCGATTCGTCTTACCTCGTTCAATGGACTCAGGTCCTCCGGTTCAGCTTCCCGCTTGTCCACAGGGCTGCAGTGCACGTAGGCGACCAGCAACCAGAGGCCAAAGAGTACGCATGTTATCCTCATTTTGCTGCTTCCTTCGGTTCTTGCTTCCTTGGATTTTCTCTGTTCTGTGGAAAAGCGCGGTTAGTGAGCAAGTGGGACCGTGGCGAGATCGCGTTCGAGCAAAGTGACACGGCGAACTCGAAATGTCAAGTGAAAGGATGGCCGAGGGCCGGTGGTTGACCGAAAAACCCACGAAAATCGGCGGAAACCGCGTGTCTAAATATATGTAACCAGTTCTAGATCTTTCCCGAATGCACGACTGATACGAGAAAGAGCATCTGGTGGCTCGTTGTCAAAGAAAACGCGTAGAATCACGAGGACGGTGACAGAGGAACGATATCGGTACGAATGAGCGAAAACGCGCAACGACGTTGGACTTTAAAGATCTGCGAAGGAAGGATGCTGACAGGCAAAGTAGCCACGTGTCTGAGCCTCGAGAAGAGCGGAGATTCGCGTGTGGTACGTGTGATCAACTTACAGCGAGCGTGCGAGCGTGGCCGCGAGTGCGTGTGGCGAGATGTGTGCCTGACGGAGCGCGAGGCTCATTTGAGGACCACGGTGAAGGAGATCCCGATGTCTTAGCGGGCTGAAGGGGAACGAAGGCGAGCATGTGTGCCCCTTCGAGAATCGAGAATCGAGCTTCGAGAATCGCAGGCCTCGCCTCCCAGGTGGGGCACGTTCGATTTGCTCCGCGAATCCCACGCAGCCTCGTACTCTCGGCTCTCGAAATCGCTGGATCTGTCCCGGCAGGCCGAGACGGGGATTCGCGCCAAGCGATTCGCGAGCTTATGCAACCGGCTGCATAGGGGAAGATACGGCGTCGTGGCAGGGAACATCCACGAGGATCCATCCGGGGATGCGTTTCAAAACGATACGGCGATTAACGGGATCGCGAACGGTGGGGGTAGACGGAGAGGTGGTAAACTAGAAAGGTCAGAATTATTCGGGTGTGAAAGTGGAAAAAACGGGCAGAACCGTGTCATCGGACGTTGGAACGCCCTCTGGCGATAATGACACTGATACCGGTACATGTGACGGCGTTGCGCAACGGATCGATCCTCGATCACGGGAATCGTACCGTTTCGCGAATCTTTATGGGTAGCATCCCACGTTCGTCGGCGGTGAGATTTACATAATAATACGACCGACAAGGAAAGTAAAACCGGGTGTAGGATTATATAATTAGTCGGTCCGCACGACGGACTCGGCGTTCCGATGTGCCGCGCCAAAATGGCGGCCAGTGGCGAACCGGTGGCGCTGCGATCGCGTCCAGCCGTCGCTTCGATTATCGTCGCGCACGCTGCACGCAGCCCGATGGCTGCCTTGCAATTTCATTTTCGACCCCGAGGTGCAGCTCGTCGCTTTCTCGCCGCGTTATCTCACACGATGTCGAAGAGTCGTAACGCGGTTTACGCAACGGCCAGTTTCTCCAAATTGGATCATTCCCCTCTCCGCTCTCTTTCGCTTTACGTACCCGTAAACTCGTGTGCGAGCACGTCACGCGCGAATATTCGAGTAGGGACACGCTCGCAGCCGTCCTTCGTTAATTACGTTTATCTAGCTTTGCAACGTGACGTAATTAGGATCACGATCAGAAGATGTTTACTCTCGCTTACACGCTTCCCGATTTCCAATCGATTTCTTATCGGCTCTCCCTTACGCAACTCGCTTGTATGCCCGTCGAAAATGTAATTCTCGGCCTGATTTGACCGATAGATTTGATATCTACAACCGGATTATCATTATACGCGTGCAAACAGATTTACCGTTACTCGCTGTCTGCTATTTTAATGGGAGAAATTAAATCGGACTGCTATAAACGTACTATCCCTGACAGGACATATTTTTCGTTATGTAAAGAGAAATATGTAACGGGAATCGTATATTTGACGGATTTATGTAACGGAGCAAGTTTGGAAGTTCGCAGCTTTCATGGCGTCGCTTGCAACGTTGTTCGCGAGCCACGTGATGTAGCGGAGGTTTATGTGGTACTGTCAAAGGCGTTTGCTACGATTCAGGGATCTATTGGAAAGAAATGGGATCGATGCCGATTACCGACAATCGACTGACCCGATCGCGGAATCCAATCGTGACGAATCCTACTTTCACCTTGACCATAGACTTGAAGTTGCCCGAGATTTTCAGGCCTCTAGAGAACTGCTGGAACGGCTCCCAGAGCTATGAAATCGTTCTGCCTCTAACAAACAAACACCCTCAACTGTTCAAACATTGTATAGATGTTATGCATAATAACATCTAGAGTGTTGAGATGGAAATGATCAGATACGTGTAATTTCAGGTAAATTTCTGCCTGAATATATTATACGCTCCCATAATATCGCGTGATCTAGCTATCGTTGCATGCTCGTAAGCACTCGTTGCCATTTCTTCTTTCACGCAGCCTTAAAGGTTCATTTATAATTATCGATGTGTCGGGCACGCGCTTCATCGATATTTCTAATTATTCGTTAGCACATACACGCGAAACCCAATGACCCGACGCACAATGGACTGGAAAAACTATGCAATTATGCCAACCAGGCTCGTACGTGTTTCCCGTTTCATTCATCCGTAACGAATTTTTAAGCCGACATTAAAATTTATGCTATCAAAGAAGAAGGTTAAAATGCAATGGAAGATGAACAATTGATTCAATTAGTAAGAGAACAATGTGTAGTTATTCTCCCTGATTTTAATAATAATTATGTAAAATTATGCATGGAAGTAGCATTGAATTTTAGCTAACTACTATATACACATTCCATTTAGGATAAAGTTAGGTAAAAATGACAGAAATTCTTTGTATTTTGGGTATATTAACACGTTGTTGGCCAGTGACAAGTTAACTCGTCATTGCACTTGCATTAGCTATTTCAATTTATGAAAATTGGATTATTGAAGATTGGATTACAAAATAATAGCCGGTGAGGTGACATAGTTTCTATGTAAAATTGCTGGTTAACAAAGTGTTAAATACTATGAAATACAATTATTCTCGCGTGATTAGTATAGGTTTTAACTAATTATTTAAATAACACGTGTATTATATAATATTCATAATTTTGTAGAAATATAAAAGTTTTTACTGCATCTTCCTCCAAATATTTATTCGCTGCTTCGAAAAAATCTGACATCTGTCCAGTGTACACTGTGTGAATGAAATAAAATAAAAATCAAGCAGCTACAAATTTATTTCCAAATTTCCTAATTCTCGACAATCCTCGAATTTTATAGAAATTATTACTCCGTCTCGATATTAATTTTACTGCAAGCTATCACTCTCTGCCACGCCAAGAAATTTACCCAACACCGAGTACATCGAAAATATTGATAATTAATCATGCGAACCTCCTGATTGCTATCATTCTTTCGCAAGTATAATTGGAGTGTAATTAAATTCTATCTCTAATTTATCACGCACTTTCTATATTTCTACCTGTGCACAAAACTCATTCACGTTCGTCAATTATAATAACAATACCTGTTGTATTACACCTAAATTAAAAGTTCAACCAACTCACACGGACTTGGTTCCATTCTTTTAACCCAACGGTGAAATTCTTAAATTCGGATATAACAATTCAGAGAAAGAAATTATAACGTATTGCAATACCGTAGATTTAAGGACCCTAAGGGGAGAAGGGCCGTGAAAGAGAAAAGAAGCGAAAGTGAATGGCCGAGACGAAATGGGCCCATGTAGGGGGCCCCTGCAGACGGGTCTGCAATATTTTCGGCGACCGAAAGGGTGAGGAGTCTTTAAGAAAAAAAAAAAAAAAAAAATTAGAGAAAGCAAGGGACGATCCTCTCGAGAAAGCAGTGTTATGTCGAGCTCGGTAGCGAGAGGTCAGAGGAAGTCGTTAGGAGAGTTGTTTGCAGTTGTTTTTCTCTTTATACGTACACACATGCTCATCACTATGCAACCAACCGCTTTCTTCGCATAATCTTATTCCAATAATAAATATGGTCCTATGTTAAATACAATACAGGAAAAGTGAAAATAATTTATTAATTATTGGTCCTCCCATTCGACGACTTTTTCGTTACAGAAAAATAGCAATTCGAAGACTTTCTATCACAGAGTCGACGATATTTTTAAAATGATAAATGAGAAATCATATGCAAATTAAGACATGGAATTATTTTTCTTCGATATTCCACACATCGTTAGGTGATTTTAAATTTGATATATTAATTAACGCCGATCTTTAAATGATGACTGAGGGTCGCCTCTCGAGTGCAAAGGGTTAATAATAATAAAATATATGAGTTTATGAAATATCGAATAATTCTAAATCTATTGTATATATATTCTTATCACCATATTTACTATATATTCTTGAACATACATCGTTTCTTCTAACTCTCGCCCTCGACACCCTATACAACCCTGACTCTGTTTTTCCTGTTTTTCCCACATCATGCACACTCTTTTCGGTCTTTTTCCTAAACAAGCCCAAATTTTTAAGAGCCTCCTATATTACCAAGAATTTTCCCACTATGGACCTGGACTTTGCACTATCGACTTGCAAACTAATATCAATTTTTGGGTCACAAGGACCTCCGCTACTATACTTGGTGTCTACGAGTCGTCTGCTGGATTTGGGTTTAAAAGGAATTCTAGAAAAAGTTTTCTAAAATCTTTCAATTCCAAACCCAAAGCGATACAAGATACATAAATCGTTAGAATCCTGACGTACATCTGCATTCTTTGTCTCTATTTCCATCAGTGTGCATTTCACTAGTAATTCATACATTGTTCACTGTATATAACCTCATACAGTCAGTTCCTCATGAATTATAATAAATTCCGTAATTTCAAATCCATAGTAATAACTGAAATTCCACGATCCATGATTATCATTGCGACGAGAAGATCCAATCACCCTGCGATTGAAATCAAACGACACTAGCGCGAAATTCGAAAGCGCGATTCGAAATGCAGCCCACGAAGGCACCGATGGAGAGGATCAAGGACGCACTTGCCTTCTTGGTGGTCGAATGCACTTGTGACGCTTATGGTG